CCCCCCCAGCAGCTGCATGTAACCTCCTTCAAGATCTCGCCCATTTTCTCAGAAACCCGCTTCAGGAACCTGCAGTCCAAGAGGAAAAAGAAAAGAACAAAGTTACTGAAGGCCTTTAGAAGACAGAGAAGCGTGCTCAGTTCTTAACAGGCCATCCTCAGTGGCTTTACATTTAGCCTTGTACTTAAGTCCACAAACTCTCATTAGAAGTATGAAATTAGCTTTTTTTTCCAGTAATCAAGTTGTGAAATGCAGTTTCCAATCCTCAGTGATCTAACAATGAGGAGAGTTACTGTACATTTAAGACACTGTCTTCAGACTAAACACAATACAATTCAAAGACTTGGTTTACAGGCACAGATTAAGAATATAAAATCATTCCCTTCTCAGAAGCTGGGAGTTTTCAGTAAGACATCAAGCATTACATGTGATCTTTTTTTGTTTGTTCAGGGTATCTAGAGTTAAAACAATGACATCATGTCCAATGCAGAACATTCTACATTACGAGTACTGAAAGGAAGGAGATAGGTCAGTGGACTTTCTGTCCTTCTTAATCATAATGTTTATTCCTGAGTATTTTTGTTGAACTTTCAGAATCAGAAAACATTTTCCTGTTTAAGAAGTGAAAGCTGCCAAGTACTTGCTAAGGAAGGAAATTAATAATTTTCAGCAACTGAGTTCAGTTAGTTATTAGAGGAAGAAGATCTCTGTTTTAAGAATATAGTTTAAGTCATAAAACTGGGAACAGTAAGTCTTGGAGATCTTTAAAATATAAGTAATTTTTCAGTTCTCTGTAAAAACTAAGTATTCCACAGATCAAGCAGGAATCCTGGTCTTTTTCAGTTTAATAGCTGAATTGGATTTAGTGCTTTGTAAAGCAGGAAAGCAGAAGACATTGGCCAAAATTACAGACCAGTGTAAGATGAGTAATTTAATGTGTTCATCTCTGAAAAGAACTGCGGCTGACTCCCCATTCATTGCTGACTTCTGATTCTGTAATTCTTGCCATGAGCCTGTATAACTTACAATTTTTTCCACTATTTTCCCTGGAGAATGCACAACTGAGAGCTGCCAGTTTTACTGTTAGATATAGGTTACTGCACCTTTGCTGTTTTTCTCTAGCGTTACATCTATATATGATGTTGGCACATAGCCTTCCTCTCCATTATGTCTTCGAGCTCTTGTCCACCCATCTCCTTTGTCCTCCTCAATAATGTACAAAATTTCCCCTTCTTTCATTGCTAGAGTGCCTTCATTATGACCTGGGAAAAACAAGAGGCAAAGAAGTCTCACTGTTCAGAAAGAATTTCAAGCCATCTTTTCCCCAAGGCATAGTTTCCAAATTATATATAAACAGGAAGAATGAAAAATCTGTGCAAGAGAACATATGGCCACACAGACTTAGAAAAAAACCCAGTCCCAATTTGTAAAGCTGAATTAGCTGTGCTAATATTTATCTTAAAACAGCACAAGTACTGCTCATGAATTAAAGTAATTTATAAAGTATCTTCATCTTTTGAGCAATTAGTTACTCATACAGGCAATTTGCTTTAAATCATTTTACCTGTCTTCTTTGTAATAAATCATCCATGCCTTACAGTCAAAGAAATCTCAGTGCATGTTGTTTAACCTTACCATCAAACGGATATATTGCCTTGCAATGTCCTATAGCTGGTAATGGATCATCATCTTCAAACTCATCATCAAACTCATTGGGATGAGCATGTTGCTGTGGTGGGCCACGAACTTCCTGGTTGGCATCATCCGTGTAGCTCCCTTCAGGGCTGCAATGCAACAACTGGAGCATGAGGAGCTCTAGAACTCACAACATGCGTGCATCACAGAAAGGGCAGGGCGTGGATATTGTTTTGGAGTTTCTGTTAGCAGTTTCTATATTATTGTCAGGGGTGATAAAAACTGATAAAAACTTATCTAGCAAAAGCTTAGACTGAATTCTGCTAGAAAAAGAAATAACAAAAGAGAAAAATTTCACGTACCTGTCTCCACAGAACATGGAAAACTAGTGAGCCTTATGCAACAGAGTAAGACAGGTTTAAAAGGTGCTGCTATTTAATGAGCAGGTGTTTCAATTAGACTATTTTTATGTTACCAAAATGGCAGGAAGTGACCTCTAGAAGTCAGAACCAGTTAAGATTTTCCTTTAGAAGGACATACACTTTGGGAGGATAAGTAACACCCATCACTCCTGTAATCATCAGAGAGCTGTACAGACTCTCACACAGGATCTAAAGCAGTAGAAACAGAATAGTGACCTCTCTCGGCCCTGGGTGACAAGGTGGTTGATGTCGCTGCTGTGCCGCCTGTCGCTTCTGGCTGCTACTTTACCTTCAACTTCAGAGAGCCAGGCCTTGGGGGAAAAAGGCAAATATTGGTGTCAAGAAAAATTGATTCTAAACCAGCACATTTAACAAATGCATTGCATGCTGTTCACAGCCACACGGAGACTGTGGTCAGTTTTCAGGTCTCATAATTACTTCACACAAAGCATGAACCTATTCTTTATGCTTAGCCTATGACCCATACTTAGTGTAAGGAAAAAATCTTTAATTATATGTGAATTTCAGAGTAAGTAAATAATAATATATTCTTCCGAACAGTTTACATCTGTAATAGTGTACATCCTTATTCTAGCTAGATGAACGTTCTTGAAAATACAGCACCCTACAAAAAATTCTATCAGGAGCTCTACTCTTAAATTGAGTAGTTTTTTAGGTGCTGTATTTAAAATCTGTAAAGCAAAGTACAATTGTACCTATCATTTACATTTTCCAAGAAACTGTTTTAGAATCTAACCTCATTCTTGTGTATTTCCATCCGAAGACGGTCCATATTGCTCATTGTCTCAGTTAATTTTGGTTGCAAACTGCTTGGATCACCCATCTGAGGATTTTTTTCATAAACATCCTTCATCTTGATGAGGGCATCTCTAAAAACATATAAAACATGACAATAATTAATATACCAGTATTGATTCATTAAAGCTAAAACAATGTGTATGAGATCCTGAACTGTGATTAGATACGAAGCACAGCAACGAGGAACTGTGGGTGTTCACACCTTGCCTAAATCCTTCTCCCATTCTGTCAGCCCTCTGCCTTCCTTTCTTGTGTTGTGCACAGGCACACAAGGACTCCAGCTGTTGACTCCTACCTATCCCCTCTCCAAACTGTTTCCCATATTGTTTGTTGTATACGATTTCCTAAATCTTAGTCATGTCCTGTTCTTAAAGCACTAAGCTGCAGCTATCTTGCTCAACAGACTCACATGATTTTTAACACACAACGTTAAAGCCAATGCTCCCTATGCAGGGTTAGAATCAAAATGAGTATGACACTAAAGCAGAAGGAAGCAATAGTAACAGAACCTACATACAACAAACTAGGAACTCAAAGTTTTTTAATAGCCTGGCCTAACAGATTGTTTCCTATCTTATGAGCACTGTTTGCTTTAAATAGAAGACATAAATAAAAAAGAGAGATAACCATGACAGAACTCCCAAAACAAATGCACTCACTTTTGGTCTGTTTCTTTCTGTAGCTCTCTGTTAAGTTCATCAATTCTCTGCTGCAGTTTCTTGCGTCTTTGTTCTGGAGGGAGATGGCTGAAATCTTCCAGTGCAGGGCCCTGCAAGCAGAAATACCATGAAACAAGCTACTACATGCACAGGTCTGGGCAGCTGAACTGACATATCCACACATGGACAGTGTTCACTGGAAGCAGATGGACCTTCTTAAAAACTCTACTTGACAGACAGCTCTACAAAAGACCGCACAGAATAAATGCATGTTCTTGCTGTCAGAGTGTAGTCATTCAGTCAAGGGAATTTCTGCCTTCTGTAGCAGCTGGCTTACAGAGGTAACTCAAAATTTCTAGATTTTATTTTTCTGAAGTCATGTACCTTCTCTTACATCCACTGAGTTTAAGGAAAATTTTAGAAAGGACAGAATAATTTGAGTCAGAACAAAAATCTAAGATGTGTATATAATAGTTATATACATATATATAAATTGTTTATTTCTCTGGAGTGTGTTCTGTGGTCATTTGGATGGTTTCAAAAGAAAAATACTGTATTTTGGATCTTCACTCCAAAGCACTATAATAGTTCTCTTCCAGAACTTCAGCAATCCTAGAAAACTAACTAAAAATTACGAAGTTATGATGGATTTTAACTCAAGTAAAACTGGTTCATGAAGCACAGAAAAAACCTTTGTAATACCAAAATTCTTACTTAAATTTGTTTATTTGACTCAAAACTTGCTGAAATATTCCAAGTCACCTTTTTACAAAAAAAAAAAAAAATACCCCAAGGAAACAGCAACCAAAAAAGTTTAGGGAGGAAAAAACCCTCTTACTTCCCAAACTTTAAAAGAAAACATAAACCAGCCAATTTAAGACCACCTACTCTTATGAACCCAAACCTTCAAACTTGATTGCAAACTTGGCCAAGATTATAATAAGGAAGATAGAAGGGTCTGAGTATGAAATGCATGGGAAGATATTTTTATGTATCTTGCAAGTTTGTTGTGAAAACTCTTCCCCTCAGGGTGCCAGACACTGACAGTGTTAAGAAGGAAATGTAGTACATGTCTTTATCACCAAAGGTTTGGTTTGGGTGGTTTTTTTGTGATCCTGTTCACCTAAGGAAGTTGGTTTTAACCCAAGAAACCCACTTGCCATTCCAGTAACCCTCCATGGAGGTAAACCAAACTGGCGAGCATTTCTTTTGTCAAGAATAAAGTTTACAGAAGCTTGAGATTTTGACACAAGCCTTATGCTCAGGTGCCAAGTTTCCAACACCTCCCCCCTTTAAGATCTTCTCACCCCCTCAATTTTTCTGCATTTGTAAAATCAATGTCATTGCTTATTAAGAAGGGAATACAAGACATCATAAGAGAAGGAAAATCAAGATATGATGTTTCTAAAAGAAAACAAGTGTTTCTTTCTGGAGGAAGAAGAATACACACTGTGTATAGTCTCAAAGTCCAGAGATGCAAAATGGCATAAACAAAATTCCTGTTCCCTTCAGAAAGCCTTCCAAGAAAACCCTTTTAAGTGGAATACACTACAAAGAAATAAAAATACAATCATGTCCTCTCTATCATTCCTCCTTACAGGTCAGTTTAAACCAGAGAATTCCTAAAAGATCAATCAGAAGAACAGAGGTCTTTTTGTGAATTTTTACTGATTTACTCTGCAATACAATATTGATCAAGGCACGGTTTTATTTAATGTAACAGCTTCCTGTATTTCTAAACATAAATGTTCCCCACTGCAAATCTTCTTCCAAATTCAAAGGACTGCACTATTCAGTATTTCTTCTTTACACTAATTTTATCACCTTTTTATATACATATTTTATGCTGCTTAAACAATTTTCCTGACAAAGAAAAATCACCAAGTATTTCCATCATGACCAACTTGTGAATACTGGTCAACTCTAAAAATCAAAAATTGCAGATTTAGGTGCAGCCAGATCACAAGTCTAATTGCCTTACATTAAGCATGGATGATTAAGAAGACTGTGCATATGAGTGGAAAATCTGAAGATGTATTTCAGCACCTGACTTAAAGCAGTTATGATATGGAAACATTTTCAGAAGATTATTTTCATGCTATCTTAGCAGAAGTACAGCAGACAGATCAGCACACGGGCTTACCGTCTTCACCGACCACTGCACAGTTCATTTGAAAACAGAAAGAAACGGGAAATTATTTACATGCAATGTCCAGTTACAAAAGCGACTAATGCCTAAAAATGTATTTTTAAAATATCACTTAAGGATTGACATTTCCATTTATAAAAAATACATTTTACTATAAGCACAAGAAAATAATTGCTTTAAGAATTACTGATTAAAAAAAATACTAGGTGATAATGGGTACTTTTAACTTACAAAATTTTAACACACAACTTCATTAATCTACTTTTGAATTTTAGTGCTCTGAATAAAGGGCTGAGCCTTCTGTTGTAAGGAAAGAAACACACACACAGCCAACAGTACACAAAATAGCAGAATTTGATGATGATGGACTGATCAGCCATATACAAAAAATTTGTTAATCATAGCTCAAAATCCACTGCAATCACTCTTACAAATGTAACTTTTGCAATGTATTTAATTTATTATCACAGTAGATCTAGAATAAACAGAGATATTTTTCAAGTCTAGAAGTAATTAATTTTACTATCTGAGAACAGCATTTGGGTCATTGTTATCTAAAATCGTTTTAGTCCATATGAAAATAAAGACGTTTAAAGAGTTAAGACATTATCCTTAGAAGAAGCAAATAAAACAAGGCTGCCAGGAGCTGAATCTTGGCTTTAACATTCACAGCATTTTGAAGATCTACCATGCTTTTAAAGATCTGGACAGCCCCTTCCAGAGAAACACCAAGCAACTTAGAAGACAGATATCTCAACTTCACTTTTGACCCTGAGAAATTTTGAAGGCTTTTGCTTGGGGCACACACACATGAGAATTTCTAGCAACAAGGGAAGTAAAGCACCTTCACAAACAATACTTTGGTAGGAATCTCAAAGCCAGAGATGCAAAATGACATAAACAAACTTCCTGTTCCCTTCAGAAAGAGTCTTCCAAGAACACTCTGTTGAGGTTTGCAGATCGCTGCTGATAATGCAGGTATTCTATGTACCAAGTGGCGTCAGGCACAGAGCTCTCATTAACACTGAATTAACAATCTGGAATTAAGAATTTGAAGAAGCAGCAGCACTAACACAGCAAGCTACACTTGTTTACACCTCCTTTCAGTGACCTACACTACAGCTACTGTTTGCTGCTCTTGCTCTCCATCATGATCAGGAAAATGTAGTGTGTGAAGCACAGAGTGCAGGGAGACTGCGTTTGTGGTCTCCAGCACCTTGAGTGAAATTTGTACAAAATGTACAAGGGCGTGATAAACAAAATGACCTGTATGCTTCATTGGCTGATAGATGCCAACTCACAGATAAAGCTCAGCAGAAGCAAACTGAGTACCATTTTACATGGGCAGATGGTGATAGGACAAAGAGGAACATTTTTAAACTGAAAGAAGATAGATTTAGATTAAATGTTAGGAAGAAATTCTATATTCAGAGGGTGGTGAGGCACTGGAACAGGTTGCCCAGAGCAGCTGCAGATGCCTCATCCCTGACAGGTTCAAGGCCAGGTTGGGTGGGGCTCTGAGCAGCCTGCTCTAGTGGAAGAGGTCCCTGCCCATGACAGGGGGTTGAAAAAGACCATCTTTGAGGTCCCTTCCAAGCCAAACCTTTCTATGATTCTATGGTTTAGTCGTTCTGCATGTATCACTTGATTTCCCAGGGACAAAACACACAGGGAAACAGCATCAGGTGCTAGCAGCTATTACGCATTTAATCAAGGTATATTATAAAGATAAGATTAATCAATAGGATTTTAAAAAAATCTATTAGTAGTCTAGTATACATTTAAGTTGAAAAGACTAAAAATATGCAATAATGTGGTGTCTGTTAAAATGCTTGCAAGGAAATTTGGAATACATATAAATTAAATGTTCATTCTTGAAGATTTTACAGAGATGAAGTCTTTAATATGTCACGTTTGAATGAGTCTAGATCTGTGGGATACTAGTGATGCTTCCTAATGTTAAAGAATTATTAAATTTAAAGTATTTAAAGAATGTATTAATTCAGTTTTACAACATGAAGAATGTATTTAAAAATCAAATATATGGTTTCATTTTCCATTAGCATTCTGTAGTTGTTAGAAGATGGTCTTTTCCTTCAAAAGAGGTTCTAGAACTACTGGTAGTACAAAGTGATGATTTGTAAGGCAGGAGTCAGTACATTTAATAATCCACAAAATCCATGTGTAATCAAGGCCTGTGCCATTCCAACAACTTCCTAATGCAGGCAGTTCCTCACTGGGAACTCAAGAAGAGGCATTACCTTCACAACCAGACCAAATTATGATTAGTGACTCAGAAGGGAAAGGAGACACTGCCCTCTGTATGGACATAGAGGAACATGAGTATTTTCTAGAAAATTGCATTGTTAGAAAGGTTCTTTCCAAGGTATCTGGGGGCCTGAAATTAGATGTCACAACATGACTCAAAGAAAGTAAGTTTTAACTCTAACTCATTCTGCTTCAGGATGACAAGGGAGCCCCTAAATTGCAACTTCACTGCATTAGAACGTTGTTGTACCATGGTCTCCTCATTATGTCAACAACAGTCAACCATTCCTGATGCACATGAGATAGCAAGTCAATATTGTATTGAAATACCAAAAAAATATTTATTATATATAACCAAATGCATCCGATTTCCTTTTCATTTGGATCAATAAATATCACTAAACATACATAAACTGGGCAGCCTACGCTTTTCTGACATAACAGCAAAGTGCCAGTACATTTATCACTAGCACTGTAAATGTTGCTAAGAAACCACTCCGTATTTTCCCTTCTACTGGCTTCCAGACAAATTCTATTTGCAGAATATGCTACTATATTAGTAAATTAATTGATAAGACAGTAGCATTTGGTAGTAATTTTTTTCAGTAATCTTACCCAAAAGAAACTAGGACAAACAAGAACGACTAATTAATCAGAAAATGCATTAAAATTGTAATGTTTAAAAAAACCCAGTATTTCAAAATCTGCCATTACCATAAGTTATAGCATTCAATGTACAAACTAAATTAAATTCTCTCTTCTTAGTTCAGTGTCTCATAATCAACTTTTACTATATTCAAAGTCAGCAAATAAGACATCTGATCTGTCAGATGACTTTTGTGGTAACTGTATATCCAATGATAAATTACTGCAAAAATATGTTACATGATGGTAGGAAAACATTTGTGACTGTGAACAACAATGAAGAAAGCTATCAAACACATGCTGAGCACCCTCTTTATAACACCTTTTTTTAGGCATGAGCATTTCAAATGTGGTAATGCATATTTCTATTTTATTTTCTTTTTAATCTGTTGGTAACTTCTGTATAGTATGAAACAAAGTATCCTAGAAGTGACCTTATAGTCGAAGTGTTACTTTTAACTAAGTTAGCCTTATAATGAGGGTGAAGAGCATTAGAAAAGCCACATCACAAACACACTGCTCATAGCCCATCATGCATTTCAACTTATTATCAAACTTACCCCTCTTTTGAGGCTTCTGAAAGAAGGAATTCTGGGCTTCCCTGTTTTTATGTCACTCATGCAATAATGCACTGGTTCAATGGAGAATATGGGATACTGGGACCCATTAGGAGTACTGGATGTGTATAAACTAGTAGGGGTTAGGGGTGGGGATTGTGGCTAATGTGGAAATAAAGAAAGCAATAAATAAGCCAAATGTTCAAAGTGAATTTAAAATGAAAATTCTGTCTTAAAAAATAAAATTTCCATCCAACACAGAAACAGGTTGCAACGTTCCACACACATTTATACTCTTAACTGTATTTGGTTTAAAAGGTTTCTGTCATGAATTAATCTTCAGAGTTATAGGTTGCTGCAGAGAAGGAAGGAAGCTTTAGACTCAATACTGCCACAAGATCCTAACAAGATCCCAAAGCTCCCTGTCTCTTTTCTTAAAACCCAGCTCTGCTATTGCCAATTTAGTTACAATCATCCTGGGAGCTTAAGCATTCCTGTTCACTACCTACTTCCTCCTACATACTGAGCTACCCTACCAGGTTAGCCAAATCAGAAAGATTTGGTACATCTATGGAGAATGACTAAAACAAAAAAACTCAGTAGTCAAGCTGACTGACAATGGCTGCATGACACTCTTAATATAGTCCCAAAAACCTCTTCCCCTTTTTTCAAATTGCTTCTCTCATTTTGTGTCTCTCACACCTCTGCTATTCTTTCTCAGTTCAATTTTCCTCTACTATTTCCACTGATGCACAATTCATTCCCTTTATAAAAGGCTTTTGTGTCTTTGACAACATTAAAATAGGTAAAGGAATACCTGGAAGTCAAGACCAGCCATAGTTTCAGCTGAATGAAGGTCCAAAGGCCCCCATGAATACCCCAGCTGTAGTAAACCAGCTAATTCTATAATAGATAATTTAAGAATATACTTTAAAACCCATAAACAGTATTTGGAATTAAATACGTATCTTCCAGTAAGTATTTTGCTTCCAGATACTGTTTTGTAGAGCGCTCCTCCATCCTCCCCAAAAAGAGGTAAAAAACAGGAACAAAATCTTTCATTTGATCCAGGTCCTTAGGGAAGAGATGGATGTAGTGTGTACAGCTGACACCTGTGGCTCCACAGAGAAACCAGTACATCTGACTCCCTGAATGCTACACAGTGAGTGAACTGGGCAGAAGAAAGCTCAGGGCAAATCTTGTCAGCTTCAGCCGTCATCACACTAAGGGATTTCTTGTAACTATAGTAAATGCCAAGGTCCACACTGAAACCACTGTACATTTACATACTCTGCAAACTCTCAAAGATATCTTGTGGTCAAACTGGCAACTGTGATCTAATTTCAGAACAGGCTGAATCTCACCCACCTCTGCAGACAAATGCTATATATACGCCCATATATTAGTGCATGTGAGCTGCTATGAATCATTAATTAAATTGCAAGAAAAGTAAACAGTCAGTTTTAACACACAGCTAGAGTTACATAATATACTGAGGATGGAATAAAGAATCAGCAGTATCCTTCCTTTCTGTAAAGACCTACTTTCTCAGAATACTATCAAGTGGAAAATAAATTCTACCATTTTAAAAGCTCTTAGAAGCTCTAACAAGTTTCCTGTAATAAATGACAGAAACTGTCCTGGAGCATTAAAATAACCTCACAGAAATTTTTGGGAAGAATTAAAACAGCTCATTGGATATACTCCAATATTAAATAAAGCATAAAATTTAAATACATATATGCTCCATTCATTTATATACCTAGTGCATGTACTGACAATCTTTGGTTGATCCATGAAGGCACCTCACACAGAAAGTGTTAACTGTAACTCATAAGAAAACAAAGTATTTCTTCAATGCTTTCAATTTTTTCTTGAGCGTAGGAGTATTTTTACCTATTTCACAGTAGTATTTCTTCTTGGACATTTACCTTTATGGAGCTTCCACATTATGTTTTACCAGTGACATATAAATTTTAATGCTTTCAGAGAAACCTCAGGAGTTTTCAAAACTTGCAGCAGGTGTAATAAAAATCTATATGACACTTCTATATGTGTGACATTTTTGAAGGGGGCTGCATTTGTGCCATAACAGATCTGAAATCTGCCCAATTCTGAAGCATACTCTCCCCTCCTTTTATTTTCACATTCACAATTCACACCTTTCCTATGCAACTACAGCAAGTCTTTACAGAATCTTAGAAACATTACAGTAATGGGAAGCTACTTCTATCAAATAACTATTAAACACGCTCCCAGACACAAATTACTAGAACAAAAACTGAAAAACTTCCCCACTGGCAATTTGATTTTTAACATGGTAAGAACTCAAACCTACTCAAACCTTCTGATCTCCTTACACGTACTTTAAAAGACATTGGTAGGCAAGGGGAAGATTTTTTACAAACACATGAATTGCTGCTTCCAACTCTAAATGTTCCAATTTGAATTTTCCAAATAGTAATTTCTTAATTGTTACCTTTGGTTTCTTTCCAAATAGCCACAGCTTTCCTTTAGCCTTGCCAACTGTAGTTTTTGTATCAATTCTCATTCCCTCTTGCTTTGGTGTGCTGATGGTTCCATCAGAGATAGTTCTGTAAATATTCTGACTGTAGTCTTCAAATGGAAAATCTCCAGGAGGTTCAAATCCAGATTTGAAGCAGTCTATCACTAGTTGAGAGTCCTAAACATAGGACATTAAGGAGTTTATAAAGGAAACCCATCAAGAACCAGAGAGAAAATAACAGAGACAAATTTTTCATTTAATTGCAGAGATGCACAGAAAGTAAAAGTGAGCTCAAAACACACTTTTGGACAGAGCAAGTTAAGATAACAACATTCTTTTACCTCGAAAGTGTTCATGAGTGCATAGTAAAGTATACTCTGCTACTCAGAATATTCCAGCAAATTCTTCCCAAGGGTTATCACAAATTTAAAACAGGGCAAAACTACTTTCCACCTTTTAATCTTTCAACATCACCACTGAAATGAAGACAAAACTAAGAAACTAGAAGTAGTAAAATAAAATAGGACAGAACCTGCTGCAATCAAATAGGACACAATGATATTTCATTAACTGAGCACCCTTTTATTAAACTTCATTAACTGAACACCCTGTCACATACAGGGGAAAATACTGACCATGGTATTCCGAGATATTTCAAGATAACCAAAATAATGTGTCCCAAATCACACCCAACGAGAATGTGTCAAAGATATTATTCAGATTACATGAAATCAATAAAGCAGGAAGAGAGAGGACAACAAAAGCAGAAGTGGTCCTTTCTGCTGAAATCAGTCACAACAACACTTTTGAAGCGAATATCTGACAACATAAAGGTAACTATACAGGGCAAGTCAGTCTTTCCCCTCTCCACAGCCTCTGTAGCAGTTATATTGCTCACACACATTTAAAAGGTTACACAGTTCTACTTACTCTATGTTCATCAACTGATTTTGCTGCAAGGATCATCCCTTCTAAGCATTTTGAGATAATTGGAATAACCTTGCGCTCGGAGTCAGCAAAGCCTTTGTAACATTCACTAAGTTTGATAGTTCTTCTTTCATCCATTTCTTGAAGTTGCTGCAAGTGCAAAGAAAGATAAAATAAAGCTTCCATTTGCTGACTTTTTGCCTCCTCGATCCTGACATATGCAGTTACTGTGGTCACCACAGTGTGGGACAGAACTTCTATGCCTTCCCAGTATTTTTATTGGCTAAACAAAACAGAACTTAAAAGTCCTTTCGGACACAAACTTCAGATGCCCAGTACAATAGTTATGATGACTTTATGCTCTTTTATTTCTAAAAATCATGTAAAGGATGGGACTTTCTTTTCCCCTGTCTTTTATAAAGCACATGTACAGTGTTTACAGGCAACTGTTTAAAGTATTTGTTTCATACAAAAATGAAAATCACAGTGAAGGAAATTTTACTGATTTCCACATCTCCTCACTATCTCCTCCTAGTTCTAAGTAATTCCTCTCTGAAGATAAATATCTCCATCTTGCTTTTATTATTATACCTTCCAACCAATAGCAGTTATTTAAAATACAGGAAAAATAAGAAAAATTAAAATTATCTGCAGTTTAGATACTCTGTTTTGAAATACAAACCATTTCCTTTAGCAGTGTGCAAGAAAATAAAGAGAAGAATACCATTACATAATATTTGCAATAAAAGTTTACAGGAACAGAACAAAAAAGAATAAATTAAAGAGAAATATTATTAAGATAATAGCCCTGGACTTTTCACTTGAGCTTGGAAAATACCCCAAACAAAACCAAAAATCAGTAAAGCATATACCAATAGGTTGTCAAAAACTGAGTAAGAAGTTGGATCATTCCTGTATCTACACTGAGGCAGATGTCTCAAACAATATTCAGCTCTCCAAGACAAAACAACCACCCAGACATGCTAAACCCCTCTCCAAGGTTTTCCCATAGAATGTTACCAAATACTTGCAATGAAGTAATAAAAGTGCAGTCCCAAGAGAAAGCAGGACTAGGCCTTTCTACTCTTACTGAAGAGTTCAAAAATTGTGAGTAATATCTTACAACGATAATGGATTTTAGCCCTAGAGAAATAAAGGCGGTACAGCAAAAGTCTGGTGCAAGCTACAAAGATGATCAGCCTGTTTCTCCTGGGAGCTGACTGCAGTTCTTGGATCAGTGTGTAAAATCAGACCTACTGCAGTGCTGCTTAACAGTTAAAATATTAGAAAATTCTTAACAAGCCAAGGCAATTTTCTCCTGTGAATCCTAGACCTTCTAGTAAGGATTTCTTAAAAAAAATGTGAACTGACTTGTGCTTCTGGAAAATATCAAGCATATTTAAGTTGAATACCTTCAAATAAACTCGGTGTTTCGCCTTCCATTTCCTCACTCCCTGTCTCAGTATCCACCCATATTTCCCAAATGGCTGAAAGTACATGCCAACACACTTCTGAACTCTCCTCACCTGATGCCCCCAACTCCTTCAAACTGGTTTTCCAATTTGCAAAGTCCGTATTTTTGAAAGAATGTTACAAAAAAATCTTAACAGTTACATAAAGCATTTCAAGAAATCCCCACTTTAGATGTAAAGTACTGATCTTTAACTTTTTTACTGGGTTTAGAGAGATCTGTGGATTGCTGGTAACACAGATGGGGCAAGGACTAATTGGGGGCTGGAGAGGGTGCTGGACCTTCTGCTTCCAATGCAGCTGATTTTCACCCATGCATGAGAGCCATTAAACCAGTCACCATCAGCCACCTGCTCTGCTCACCAGAGGCAGAGCATTCACACACACACAAGGACCCGAGAGCTACTCAGGTCCTTCAACCCTTATTAGGATTGTTTTAAATGTCTGCTGTCACCCAAATGTCTCAAATGTTCATTTGGCCAGAGCCTTTCAGAAATATTTAAACAAGGAGATTATAAAGTATAATATCTTACAGAAAATGCAACCAAGAATTTTCATTAGAAATCTAAGCATTAGTATGGTACGCAGTCTCATGAAAAAACCACGAACTGTCTCAAGACTAAGGCAATTGCTTGATAAAATGATCCACTAAAATAAAAAAAAATAGTTTTTAATTTTAAAGTCTACTTCCTCTTTAGAAAAGGATCAGCCATACTTTATCTGTTAACTATTTTACCTTGTAGATCTGAGGAATGACAATGTAGTAGTGTTTGTGCTGTTCTCCATTAAAATTCTGTAGTTGTGCAGCATATTCATTTTTGTTTTCATCAGCCATATGTGTGCGCAGGTTCAACTGCTGCTTAGCCTAGTAGGAAAGTGTTACCAGGTTAAACATGTCTTGTACTTTTCAATGACACACAGCATTATTTTATTTCATCAACTATGCAAGAACACTAGTCACAAATCATCAAAACCAACATCCTTGTAACTGAAATATGAAGAATGCGAGACTTCACATAAACTGACACTCAAAACCCTCATTTGTTATATATGGAGAAAGCAATGATCACTGCAGCTCCCTAAGCCAGACTGCTTCAGTGCTTATCCTAAAACCCACAGAAGTGGCTGAACATACAAACCAAGAGGTACCAAAGAGCAGAGAGCTGCCAGTGTAAGGAACACGGCACAGCCATCCAGAGGGACTCTCGTGAACTTTGCCAAGGCCAGATGCGAGGTCCTGCACGCGCGTGGGGTGATCCCAAGCACTAACACAGGCTGGGAGAGAACGGGTTGAGAGCAGCCCTGAGGAGAAGGACCTGGGGGTCCTTGTAATGTGCACTCACAGCCCAGAAAGCCAACCCCACCCTGGGCTCCACCAAAACAGTGTGGCCAGCAGGTCAAGGGAGCTGCCTCTGCCCCTCTGCTCAGCCCTCCTGAGACCCCACCTGGAGTACCCTCAGCACAGGAAGGAAATGGACCTGCTGGGAAGAGTCCAAAGGAGGACATAAAGATCACCAGAGGACTGGAGCACCCCTCCTATGACGACAGGCTGAGAGATTTGGAGATTTTCCACCTGGGGAAGTAAAGGCTTTGGGCACACCTTAGAGCCCCCTCCAAGTACCTAAAGAGGGTCTACAAGAGAGCTGGAGAGGGACTTTTCACAAGGGCAGGTAGTGATAGGGCAAGGGGGAATGGTTTTCAACTCACAGAGAACAGGTTTAGAGGAGACATTAGGAAAAAATTCTTCACTATGAGGGTGGTGAGGCACTGGTAGGAGGTTGCCCAGAGAAGCTGTGGATGCTCCATCCCTGGCAGCATTCAAGGCCAGGCCGGATGTGGCTTTGAGCAACCTGGTCTAGCGGAAGTTGTCCCTGCCAAGTCTTCAAGGTCCCTTTCAACTCAAACCATTCTGATTCCAAAAAACACTCCTTTCCTGTGCTGTCTTACACTTATAAGTTCACTGGAACTTTGATTTTGCATATAACAAGTAAGCATATTTTATACACGATTTTATGCATTCAATGAATATTGTTTCAATGTTGATGATTAACATGTAAATGAAATATCATCGATAATGAAGTAAAGTCACTGCCCTTACCTTCTCAACATCAGCCTTCGTCGCATTAGTATCATTGTCCAGTCGTTCATAGCTTTGCTGTGCCTTCTCTGCCTCTCTGCATTCTCTCTCAAATTTCTTTTTGCTCTACAAAAGGCACAAACTTACTGCTTCAACAGGCACTATTCCCATTTGGTTTCGTACATTAATTCTGAATTCTAAATATCAAAGCTTCCATTTAAGTATCTTAAATTCACAAAGTCCCTTTAAAGGAGCACAATGTTAGCACAGCAACTAGGTCAACTCAATTATTTTGAAGGCAGTCTGAAGGATGTATCAACACTACAATCATCATCAGTATTCATGTCAAGTGGCACAGCTGTAGGTAGCACAGACAACAGTATTCAATATACTTGATGTTCCATATATGCGGCTGTTGTCAAGACAACTGCTGTAGGAAAAATTGTTGCAGAAGTTCACATCTCTAGAGAGAAACTGCAACTGAGACTCTGAGCTCCTGCTTCACAGCAAAGTCAGTCAGTTGAGGTTAGTGTGTCCCTTAAAGGCATCTAAATGCATTAAAAAGACTGCCTTTGCACTCAGGTAAATACAAGGCAGGCTATTGTTTGAGCTGAATTGTGAGCTGAACTATCTTGGTGAAGAGGAATAACATCTAAAACTACCACATCTGCTCCTATTCTGATCCTCTGATGATGAATTAAACTCTTGGATGTGACAGTGAAGCAAGATCCTGCTCATCTGGGACCACAACAACAGAATAGAAACTCATTTTTCCAGTATTGCTTCCCAATAATCTGGATCACAGATATAATAAACTTTCAAGACGGAAAACCAGAATATCAGAATACATCTTGAACAGACTTGGTTGAATTTTATACTTTCTTATCTTTAAAAGCATTTGTTTCAAGAAAAAGAAGCTTATAGTCTGTCCTAGAGACATTCACTTCCTGCATTTCTCTGTTAAACAGTAATTCTACCTCCTGAAAGTACAATAGTCTATAGTGGTATTCTTGAATACATCTTGGAACAAGCCCTCAAGCTCAAGTCAAATTCCGTGACTTACGGTTTCATCTTCATATAAGTAAACTGTCCTTTTTAGCCCAAGGAGAAGCAATCAGAGTCTGTACCCATGTTAAAACCAGATTTCTTTATGCTGGTTACACTGGATAAAAGCCAAGGCTTCTCTCAAACATAAACACAGAAGCTGTTTACAGATTTTTTTAACCAGGGAACTATAAATACATTGAACTACATTATGTTAGTAAGTTACTTGGACATTAAATAATATACCTAAATATTAAATCTAAGCAAGCCAGACAAAAACAATTCCACTTACAGCCTGTATATTTTATTTAAGTTCAACAGGAATAAAATCCAAACACAAACTCACATTATCCATCTGTTTCCAGCACATGTCCAGATACTGCTGAGCCTTTCGCCCTTCCTGAAGATGCTAAAAACATCACAAATAAATTAAGTTTACCTATATTTTTAGTATTATTGCCGTTAATTAGTCCCTGCACTAGCTGACAGCCTATGATGTGCAGTATCTTCCACAAGCTACCTATACTCTTTGGAAGACACTACTTAACATGCAAGAATAGTATCACAGATACTGTGGTACACTGACAAAAAAAAAGGCTACTAGTAAGCACTGTCTTCCCAAGATAATAATTTTTAGGTTTAGTAACTGTATTATAGTATATAACATTATATATTATAGAAAAACCTTAAATGTGTTTTATAAATGTATTACAACACCTATGTATTGCCATGTTCATCAAAATGGGTAAAGAAATATGTCAGTTCATTAAAAGACATACATCTTGATATCCTATTTTCAAATTTAAAAACACAGAAATTACCATTTTTCTCTCGGTTTTTAGATCGTGAGAATATCTCATCAATTCTCCATACACTCTGTGTCCCATTTCTTCTGCAACTACTTCCCGTTGTCCTGCATAGTCATTCAACTCATTGAGGATGTTAAAAAAGGCAATACACGAAGTAAACCTGACAGAAAGCACACACACACAAACATGCACAAAAAGTTAGGCAGCTTTTAAAAATACACTTATTTATAGTCTGTACTCCTGATTTAAAAAAAAATTCATAGACATTTTACAATAAACCTTATCTGCATGCTAATTGAGTTAGAGAAGAAACACAAGCTGGGAAAGCCTATGTTAAGCCTAGTATGTAATCTATGTTGCAATGTCTCTTCAAATACATTTTATAAGAACATAGGTTTGTGGATGGAAAAGAAAGAAGAAGAATACTACCTGGCAAGCCCTGTAGTATAGAGGTATCTCCTAAGCTGCCCAGGGAGAGGCCTGAGCTTGGGAACGGATACATACGTCCCTAGGCTCGGAGGCTGAGCTTGCTGCAGAGATGATGTGCTTGGTAGTCTTGAGGGTGGAACATGCCAATCATACCACTCCTATGCATCCCGATGGATTCTACAGAACAAGTTTGCTATCAGCTCTGGAGACAGCTGCCTGTTTGCCTGCCCACCTCTTGGCTGGAAGTAAGGTGCCACTATGGCTGGCACTAAAAAGGGGGGAAGAGGAGGGGCAAAGGGTAGAAAGTGTGTGTGGAAGGGAAGAAAGGAAAAAAAAGAACAGGCACCGCATTAAAATATACATCTTTCTCTCTTTTAACTGTGGAATACTGCCATCTCCATAGGCTTAGCTTTTGGGAATTTCAAATGCCACTCTAGCACTGGAAAGCCTGTTCCCTCAGGTCCAGGATCTTTACATACTTAAAGGGGCTGGAGGAAATCCTACTGTGAATTCTCAGGCACTCTGCACAGCATGTGCTCTGGCTGCAACCTGAAACTTGTCCACTTTTTCTATTCCCTAAGACTTACCCCTAAAGAAAAAAAAAGTATTGTGCTTTTTCAAATAAATTTTTTAAATGGCTATGGAATGGACAGCAAAACAAGCATATTTCCAAAAAATAAAGTTGTTTAGCACAAATTGTTCCTCCACCATTAGGCACCCACTTATTTTGTCTCCAGAGTCAAAGCAAGTCAGCCTTTTAAGCGTTCTTCGTGCCCATAACATGACAATTTGCGTACACTCTGGTCTCAGTATAAGGCTGCACAGCTACATTTGTATTGCCATAAAAATGCACTGAAAATCTCTATTACTATGCAAAAAAACAAAGCCTAAGGACACACTCTTACTTTTCTTTAAAAAACAACACTAGACTGTACATAGCAAGCTAAACTTCTGCTTTCAAAATTTCAGTTACCTAAAGGTTGATTTGGAAGGGAGCAAGTACAACCTGCCATGTTTACTACATTAAAATACCAGTAGGAGTAAACAAAGGTTTCACGCTTAAGAATTACAGCAGAACTGTAAAAAGCCAAGCACAATTCTTTTGTTGTCATCACCAATTAAATATCTTAAAAAAAAAAGACAAACAACTCCAAAAAGAACAGCATATACTGTTAGTTCTCACTTTTTACACATCAAATTTGACATGGACATTTTTACCTGGGTTCCTCATCTTTTGGTGAGCGTTTAGGACAGTACTTCTTAACCAGATTTCTATTAAAGAAGAACAAAAAAAGATCCTACTTTAGAGTCTCTTTAGAGAAGCCACACATAGAAAACTGCACGAACAAATTATTTCTGTTTAACATTCTATGAACAAATCTATTCCTTCTGCCAACTTATAACAGTTCTTGAGATAACACAAGGCTGAAATCTGTGGCATTATCAAAGTTTTACACCACTTTGACCTAGAACAATTTGCAAGTATTTGAAAACTTCTACTGCAGTGAAATGAAATGAAGAGTTTGTTATTTAACATCCTTTTCCCGCATGCAGAAGGCGGCAGCAGACGAGGACAAGGCCAACGTATGAGCACGGTGTAACACGGACAGTGCGCACTGTGTGCTGTGCCACGAGCACAAAGCTCCCTGCCTGGAGCAAGCTTTCAGTATAGATTCAGGTCAAAGACTTTAACCACAGTATTCCCAAATCTTCCACAAGGACACATCCAGAAAAGGAGAGGCAACATGTCTTTATAGAAAAAAGATTTTACAGTTTGTCCTACCATCAGCATCGCAAAATATCCGGATTTTAGAAATCAAGCAAATCTCTACAAGACAATCCACAGGACCGGTACTTAACACAGTATCACAGTCTAACTTTTGATAACATTGATATCAAATAATCTGCTTATCATAGAATGCAGAGAACAAACAGAATGGAAGAGTTAAGAGAAGATCCTAGAGAAAAAAATCTAGCATGCATGTTGTGTATTTCACCCCACTGCCGCTCTGTAACTTCAGTTGTGACATTTATGAACTACCTTACCATTAAAAGAAAGGTGTTAATTTTGCTTTCATCCAAAATAACCTTGTATAATTTCTCAAATTCGTTTACCTCGAAGTCATCTCTATGGTACAGAAGTCCACATAGTGAGATTATGTCCAGTCACAAAGTATACATCAGAATATGAGCAGGGAGTTGGTGTGGAAATAGTAAACTTGGATCTTTTGCATGTTTCTATACCCTCTGAGACTACAACCAAAAAAACCCAACTAAGTTAAGAAAGTCAGGTCCTTCTAATATCAGTTTGTACTAAGAAACAGAATGAACACTGACTTTTTAAAAATCATCTACACCTTTTATAGTAACCTCCTTACTGAAGTTCAAGTAAGAATCTCTTCTCACTGTCCCCAGAACCTACTGCCATTCTGCTTGGTAGGAATTAAATGCAGACATTTTGATAGGAAAATGTATGTACACAATAAAAAAAAAAATAATTTTCACTAAGCAATTTTTCTGTGGTCCATTTTCCTTTACATTTCTGCTTTGTTCCTCAGTGCTTATTAATGAATAGGAAATTCCTTAAATTCACCTTATTTTTATTCAGAATGTGAAATGCATAACACACATACAATGCCGTAGCTAAGCAACCATGCATGAGCCTTTTCAAGGGAAGATTTTCAGAGTTGTTAAAAATGAGAAAAGAAATTACTTACTACAGCCATACAGTTTAGAATGGCAGGAGAGAAGGGTCATAAATGCAGATTATTTATTAGCATGCTAATTCTGTTCTGGTTTCATTCTTTAATACAATTGTTTAGTATTTCTAGAAAGACAAAAATGTTATATAATCCCTTCTTCTAATAACAGCCAGTTTCATTAGTGAATCTCATCTGCCTTTGGATCAAAGGAACACACAGGTTTGAGACATTAGGATTTCACAGCACAAGGTACAGTAATTAAAGGCAATAAAAATGAATTGACAAGCAAATGCAGGTTTTAGAGATCAAAGAAATAGACAGTGTTCATGTGAACAATTATGCATAGATGGCTTTTCCAGTAAGTGAATACCAATACCTAATCAAAACTGAAATATTAAATTTAAATCTTTGAAAAAGCACAGGTTGACAAGCAGCCAGTATGAGCATGGATTTGAAGAGTGAAGCATTCTTTCAAAGAGGAGCCAGTTGACATTTCTAAGAGGGCATAACATTCTCTGACATTTCAGTCTAAATCCATGCCTAAATCTCAGAATTCAGACATGGATCTGGACTAGTTTATAAGAAAACTCTACAAGTAATTGGTGATCATCAGAACAGAAACGTATCTACAAGATTAATGTCTTTGCTTCCTAAGAAAAGTGCAGCTGATGACACTTGAATCCTCTTTGGAAGTAAAATTTTCATGGCTTCTATCTCACTCTGTCTTACAGCCAGCCATTTGGAAGCAGATTTTATACAGGATTAACCACATCCAATTGTGCTGCTCCTGTAATTTTATTAACATCACTTCCTGGTATAAAGTGGTCTCAGGTCAACACCAGAGAGACAGGAACCTGATTTTTAAGAGAAGTTACCTAGGCAGAAGTTTCAAAAAGTACTTCAGCTGATAAAAATTACTTATAGTCAGGCACATAGAACATCTACACAAAATTTTACAGATGTGTAAAAAATTGTGTTCAGCAACTGAAAGCTAAGTTTTCTTCAGTCAATTCATACAGCATGTACAGAACAGAAGCAGCAGTATCAACACAATTTCTATTAAGGTAGCAACTCAGGTACTGTGGTATCTGCTCATATTAAACCACTACAGCCTCCACATCACATAACAAATAAGCCTGGTCACAAACTTTTTTTGCTTTCATAAGTAGCTAAAATTGCAATAAGTACTTAAAAGCATTTCCTATTTTTATGTAAAGTAATTGTTTCAATACCATTTTGATATCTTCAGTGAATGCACACCAGTATTATGTAGTTATGTGTTATATGTAGTAGTATTTCACTGGGTGAAAATAATAACAATTAACTGTGTGCAGTAACACCTCATTAGAAACACTGGAGCAATCAATCTTAAAAAATCGTAACCCGGACTTCAAGTTTACAAAGCTGAATATCCTTGGAACCATTAAGGAATCACATGTTTATGTTATATTATATTATGTTATATTAAGTTTATGGCAGCAGGATTATAAAAAAAACCTGCCACAACCATATTTTAATACTAATGAGCAGTGTAAAAATCTCAGCTCCAATCAAAGGAAGAAAGTCTTGAGAAATGATCACATGTGGTGATAATCTGTGTTCCCAGGTTTACATCTGCGCTTACAGCAAGATTATGCATATAAAAATGTGGAAACTGTCTGTCTCAGTTTGACTAGACAACTGCATATATTAATATTGTATTTATGAAAATATCACTTAAACACAACAGTATGCTGAAGGAACACGAAAAACAGATTTGGTCAGAGTAACTGGATGTCTCCAGAGATCACAATGCTCAGTTTTAATGGGCAACAAACAGATCAAGAACAATCACAGCTATTTGCTTTAAACCAACTTTAGAGAAGTTGACCATATTCAGAAATTTTATTCCATGGCAGTTTCATCTCCACCTGCAGGTACAACTTGTATTACTGCCTAACATCACAGAAAGTGGAACTCTACTGTCTGCTCAAGTGTCATAATGCTTTAGACAAGATGAAAAGGGAATGAACCTCCAGAATTATTTTGTGTGTAATGATGCAGAACAAAACAAACCTTCACCTTGCCCCTTTTAAAAAACAATCCTGATGAAAAACAGCATCTGAGAATTCAACTGAAAAATTCAGTCAAGAGCACAGTAGTTTGGCACATACTAAATCTAATTTTTTTCCAATTACAAAATAAAAACAAATTAAATAGTCGTATCATTAAAATGGAATATCTTAATAACTGCAATAACTTTGTCCTGATTCACATCCCCGTAACTCAGTAACAGCCTCTAATAACCCTTGCAAACCTTGGGGTAACACAGTACATTAGTTGAAACCTACACCATACAAAACTTCAGATCCTCCTTTAAGTTAGCTCAAACAAAATCACATTACGCTTCCTTTTTTTGTTTCAGAACACATGATGTGCAAAGACAAGCTGTCTAAGGTGTTTTTCTCCCCCCCCCACAGACAATTGAGGATTCCCCAATTTTTCTTGTCATTTTTTCAGTATCAAAGAAGAATAGCAAGAACTGACTTGTAACCTAAAACCAGTATATGGAAAAGTTATCACTTCTGGAATTACTTGGCAACCATGAGCTGCAACACCTGCATACAGTAAGAATATAGTGAGTTTGCTCAAACAGCTCTTCTTATGCTATACATGCATCACTTGCCATCTCCTACAAGACCTGGAGGGGCTGTTGCACCTGGGAAAGGCTCGTTGTGACAGTATACAGAAAAATAAAGTTTTCAAAATGCAAGGGTATACACAAAGTGAATGTGAATTTCTGCCAGGAGACGACTCTAATATGTGAAAACTGTTATGAAAAGTTCACTCAAGTTCTCTTGGGTTTAAGTCCATGAGAATAAGATCCATCAGTGACCTCAGCAGGATGTTCATGGTCCACACTAAAACCAAGACAGAAAAAAACACCATACATCACTAGCTTTATCTCCTGTCTAAACTTGGCTTTCCTCAATCTCCCATCCAAGCACTAAGAGAGCCACAGAACTACCAAGAGGTGAAAACTTGCTGTACTGTTTATCCTCTACTAACCAAGAGCATTATTAATCTCAGTTATAAAGTGCATTATAAAAAAGAGTCTCAACACTCTTTTTCAGCTTGTTTTCCATTACAAAAGGATATACTAGAAATTTCCAGTAGGGATATTAATATCTATTTCACAAGCCATATGCTGCTAATATGAAAATTCACCAGAACCACAGTCCATTCCACAAAATCTTCTCCCTCAGAACTTCCCAGGAGTAAGATGCAGGATGGCTAACTCTTCTGAAGGTGACAATTTTGCTTGATCTCAATCCCCCCTGGGCCTCATAACTATTTTACGTAATTAAAAACAGTGAGTGTCCTCAGGAGGAATGATGGCTGAAATCAAGTTGTTATCACGAGACAGTTCACTACTAAACTATCAAGTCTCCTCCAGAGAATACATATACAAGAATATCAAAGAGCAGCTTCATGAACTGGTCTACTGGCAGAAAATCAGTCACCCTCTGATGTGTGTGCTGTCCAGACCCTCGTGGGAAGCAGGCAGGAAGTGCATGCATGCACTGTATAACGTGTGTGCAGCAAGACCTGTGCTTCCCAGAACTGTCATACTTACTGCACAGGGACAGTCACTCCAGCCATCTGACAGAAGGGGTACTCGACAAAGCTCTTTCATTTTTGAAAGACACTTCGAGAAAAATCAATAGTTGTACCCAGAGTAAAATGCTGAACAGAGAAAATTTACTATTTTTAGTCAAATCCTTAAGTAATAATGTGGTGTCTCATCTTGCTAGCTGTGGAACGAACCTTTAAATATAAATTAAACAAAATGGCATTTGTGAATACTATTTAAGGAAAAGATTTTGATAGAGATCTGTGAAAATAAAACATATTTCTAAATCAAAACAGAGCTGCAAACTGTGCTGTGCATGCTTCCAACTTTCCTTTACCTTCTCAATTTCTTCTATACCAGCTTTGGAAAAGTGGTATTTATTTTCTTCTTTCTAAGAAAGAAATTCCTTCAGTAAAACAACAGGTTGTTATGTTAGGTGAATATATACAACTGGATAAAAAGAAACTGATGAAGAAATCAAAAAGGAAATGAGCAGCCCAGATAGAGAACATCCATATCCTCAGCTGTGGACCTCATTACTGTTTTAACGAGGAAGGATTTCTCAGCTCTCTATCTAGTAACAATCTGGTTTGCAAATGATGAGATGATGGAAGAAACTGCAGGAGAGAAGCTGCTATCAGTTTCAGTCTGACAAGGGTAGGCAGCATCTTCAGTTGAATCCCCAAAGGAATTCAAGGCAGTGAAGGCAAAGATGGCACTGAAGGCCAAGTTCACAGGAGTGTCTTACTTTAAATTTTATTCTTCAAGCACTGAGTGCACGGTTGGTAAAAATCAACCTACTTTATTCTGAAGAAATAACTTTATTCTGAAGCAGCCATTTCATGGTTGCTACTCTCCTTGTATGATCCCTGAAGGGAAATTCCTATTGGACCTAAAAGATGTTTCACTTGGCAGCTATAGAACAGAGGTAAGACAAAGGGTGGCTGGGTTACAGTCTCACCCAAAGGGACAAAACCTGCTATGGAAAGGGCGTGCTTTAAGGACAGGAAGGTCCTGTTGTTTTCTCAACTTCTCCTCAATTATTTCCATCAGATTTCTTAAAACAATGTAGTGTAGCTCTTGCCAATTCAGCATGAGAAATTAATTAGTAGCAGAGGCACACACACGCACACTGAAGTGTAGATACAGATAATGCACTTTACAGCAAATGTGCTGATAGTCAGTGCAAAAAAATCACTATGGTTTTCCTTGGTTTGAATCTTTAATTTTAAGCCTTAAATCTTTTTAGTTCAAAGATCTGAATGGTAGGTGGGAAAGAAGGGTGAGAGAAAAGACAAAAAATGCAAAAACAAACAAGCAAGTGCACACCCAAAGATAGCTTTCTGGTTTGAACTGGTCTGTCATGGAAATAGCTAGTGATCTAATTCACTCTGTAAATTAAAAACATTAATCACAGCATGTCATAGTTGCCCACCAAGTGTTACAGGATTTTAAGTAACTTTTAATATCCCCTTGGAAAGAAAAAAAATCTTACCTCAGCTGTTTTGCGTAGTTTTGCTCAATTTCTATCCTCTCTTTTACAAATTTTGCGTATTTCTCCAAGAAGTCAATGCCCCACTGCGTATGCTTGTCCAGGTTATCAAACTGATCCTTTAAAAACAAAAGGAAACAAAATTACCCAGAATTAGTTAAGAATCACAGCAGTACCAGATTTACACATCATTTATTTATAAGCTGTGCTCTGAGGGAATGCTTGTTACTTGGGTAGAAGTCATTCACCTTATAAATCAGTCAAATGTGTATACTGGAAGCAGGCATAAACCAGAACAGTAGGTTGCATGTGCAGGAACAGATCTACCTCTTTTTGTAAACACAGCTCTGAATACTTGCATGTTAAGCTGTAAGGAGTCTTTCATCACTTTCACAATGCAAATCTGTCTCCTTCCTCTTAAAACCCTTTATTTCAAAAGTGAATCTTTTCCACCAAGGTAACAGACACAACCAAAGATCATTATTACATCAATAAGAGACAGCTCACACAAGAGATGTCTGGCAGCTTTAAAACATAAGAACTTCTAATTTCATTGGATACAAAAATTACTTTCACTCTTAGGATTGATTACCCACTGAAAGAAAAATAACAAATTTTAGCAGCATGACTAAGTTGGGTGTAGTCTGCATATCAAAAATGCTTATTAAATCACAATTATATACACAGCTCACAATCAGCTCTAACAGGAGATTCCAAAGAAAGCAAATCTGTCCTTAGTAATTAAGAAAGTTACAGCAAAGGCACAAAACAAAAAGGAGAAATGGTCAATAATAAACTACATTTAAAAAAAAGTTTAGGAATTTTTAATACATTAAACCATCTTCAAAACCCATCTTTCACTGCACTCTGTACTGATCAACAGGTGAGAGATACACTAATTAGGACAAGTTGAAGAGTCAAAAAGCAAGTGGAAATATGGGGATTAAGAATTAGGCAGGAGAAAACAAAGGTACAAAATACCTCCTAGCAAACACTTTTAGTCAAACACATACTTGCATTTTATGCTACAATAATCTACCACAGAGAAAAAAATCAAGGATTTTCAGCTTACAATAGCATTTAAAATTAGCAGTTATTTAATAATCCAAAGAAAAGTAACTGAAACACCAAAGTTTGTGTCCAGTCAAGGCTGAATCCAAATACACTTCACAGTACACTTAAAATATAAAAAGAAGAAAAAGAAAAAAACTAAGGAAACAATTAAGTTCAAAATTTAATTAACTTAAACAAAAAAGCTCTGAAGGCTGTTTATCAGAGGCTGTCTCTTGCAGACTCAGTAGCTTGCCTGAACCTAATGAATGATGTAGACTTCTAGCATTAGCAATTTAGTTTAAGTTCAATTTCAACATGCAGTAGGATGATCTACAGCTAAATTTAAAAATGCCATAAAATCCTGCAAGGCCTGAGACTCAAGGAACGTGTATTCACTTAAAGACAGGTGAACACAACTATATAACCAAGGAAAATAAAAATAACCTAACAGGATTAAGGTTGCTCTCAAATGTTGGACTAACTACTACAGCCAATTAGTGCCTTGAACCCTTCAGTGTGATGGCATGCAAGTACTGCCAGCCAAAAGCATCCATCCTGTTCTACCACCAGCCCCTGCACCACTCCCTCCACCAAAACCACTTTCCCTGATGTTTCACCAGAGAACCACAGAAAGAGGAGATAGGAGAGGGAGTGAAGACAAGATTTCAATGTATGTGGGAAACCGGGGCCTGTGTCTCACATTATTCTGACATGTGCACTTTGCACCAACTGGACACTTCCACTCAAAATATGTCAAATTAAGTGACACTTCTGCTACTGCTTTTAGAGAAGCTGCACATGCACTGTTTTGAGTGTGGGAAGAGGAAGACAATTATCAGGCTGTAGCGTCAAACCACATTTGCAAATATGCGTAAAAATACATCAACCTCGAGAAGTTTGTCTTTTTTATACTCCACTCATTTGTGTAATTACTCTTACAAAATTAACGTAGCATCCAAAAGCAGTTTGTAAAAGATGCTTTTGGCATGAAGTCAATACCTAATACCATTAAAAAGAACTGACTTCCTTCAGCACACAGCAGAACAAAGCCTTTGCTGTCCTACTTAAGCTCTTTAGACCACAAAGCTCTCGTTTGCTGCTAAAGTTTCATTAGCATTAGGGAACACCACATTACTTCTGTTTCCAAACATGCAACCAGAGACAGTGGCTTTCCAAATATTTTGTTGAAACAAAAAAGGACTCCAATGCTCAAACTTCCTTCAAGATCTGCTATTAATATGAAAACTACATTTGACAAACTTATCACAATTTACTACAAGGATTTCATCACTGATCACGTGTCAAAAATTCTTTTCCACCCCCTTAATTCCTCTTCCTCATCTGGTTCTAGAAACACTATGTTCTGTGCAAAGACAGCTTTGTTGGATTACCCCACAAGCTTCACAAGTTTTCAAATTCTCTATAAACAATAAACCAGTGAATGAAAGTCTGTAGTCACAAGAATCACCTTACACTGTCCTGTAAAGCCACTGAGATAAATGAGCAAAAGATAAAGGCAACATCAACAAATAAGCAAAAAGGACTGGCCTTTTCAGAAAGCCTTCCAGAGGGGAGTCACAAATCTACTCATTTACTTTCAGTCCCTCTTCAGAAGCTCACATTTGAGGTCTGGGCCTCAATTAAGCAAAAAGCTTCCTTTTTGTACCAGAACACAAACAGCAAATCTTCCAGACTGCTACAAAGGAAATCAAACTAATGCACTGAGATATAAGTGATGTCTTCAATGGGAAAAAAAAAAATGGTCCAAAATCAAGCAATACTGTACAGAGAAGAAAACAGACTAAATAGTTCCAATAAAATTGAGGTCTGTAATTTCAAAATAAATACATCAGTGTATTAATTTGGCTAGCTCCTTTATAAGAAATATGAAAACTGCATTAACTAGATCAGAAAAAGGTTATTAAAAAAAAAGTACCACATCCTACAATATCTGGCTATCTATGCCTTGATAATAAAGTATATTCTCAACAATATTTCCAAGCAAATATATTTTGCTGTTTGTCTAGTAACTGCCCACATCCCTTGGCAGCTGAGGAGACAATTTTTGTAAAAAGCCTTATTAAAACTGCAGCTGAGTATTATTAAAGCAATCAAGGTCAGCTAACGGATGGTGGCCCTACTTAGAAACTGCCCACTCAAAAGTGGAATTTAGTCCAAAGCCTCTCCATTACAAACAAACAAATCTGACACTTGACAAGAAGTTTGTAGTAGGTCAAAACAGACTATTCCAAAACAAATGTCACCTAACTAAATTCTACTTTCAGATTATTTTACTGGAACCACAGATCAATGTTATAAACACTCCAGGTTTGCAGTTATCATGTGGTTGCAGATATCACGAAGCTTTACAAAAACAGAAGCTGAAGCATCAAAGCCAAGAGTGAACCTGACTCAAATCAACAAGACAAAACAGACTCTCCTGGGTTAAACTTGAGATTCGCTCTCCTCCTCATACTTACACTTGTTTTTTCTCCAAACAAGCCTCAAGAACCAATAAAAAGAAAAACATGGGAGATTTCTTCAGAGGGATGAGCATGCTAAAGCATAAATACTGGGCATTTAGTCTTCCCAAAGCTACCAGTCCAGACACTGGACTAGTGTGGGAGTTTCAAACAAAAGACATTAAACAAGACTGAGATTTTTAAGGGGTTAATGTTCCCAGCTTTCATCAACTTCAGAAAGCAATTCTACTTGCATTTAAAGCTAGGATTGTGGTGTCATTCTGTAAAATACTCTTCTGTTTCACTAATTTATTTCTTTACAATATGTAAACTAGCCAACTGCATTAACATCCAATTGCTTTCAAATTAGTCTCCCATTCCACTGACCTCCAGACAAGACAGCTGAAAGTTTTAAGAATCACATTAAACATTCAAGTACATTGACTTACAAGTTTCAGAAACCAATCTCAATTAATTACATCTGCAATATCTACTTAATAAAACATTTTATTTGAAATGAGGATACTTTGCATTAATTAGTCTACCATCATTTTATTCTCTATTGACTCAACTGTACACCATTACTTCCAGACTTGTATCTGACCACAATTTTAGTCTGCAGTTACCCAAATGATCTTATTTGCACTTTTGAAGCACTGGCTCAAGATGAATTTTTTTTCCCTAATTCTTTGTTCTCCAGGCTGCACAGCCAGTCTAAACTTCCAAGTCAGTGAGTGAGAGATTAAAAACTCAATCCTGTCTTTTGCTCTCTAAATTCTTAACCCTTGTTCAGGCTGGTATACGGAAGTGTGTACTATGCCAGTGTTCAGAGCATGGAAAAGCAGCAGTCAGGTCTTGGTTCAGGAGAAAAATATTCAAAACACTTGGCATCAAAAAAGCCCCAGTGCATTTGTGGATATAAATGTTGTATTTTATTATCACCTTATGAAAAGCCATGACTTACTTAACCACACAAGTCCACAGAAAGTCAAGTGAGAAAATGTGGGTGATAACTTAATACGAATCTTAGCAGTTCTTGTTTACTCAATTAATGCCCATGAAGGTTTATCAAATGAACCTGAATTATGGATAAATTTAAATGATAGATTAAATTCTGCCTGTCTTTTTTTCCTGCATAAGCAGCACAGTAGAAAAAAAAAGACTGCTTCATAACACCCAACTCTATTCAAGAAGTTATATATTTTAAGTTATAAAACATCATAAAGCGACTATTTAACATATTAAAGATTTTATAAAACTTTTATGAAACAGGAGGCTGAAACTGAATTATGAAACATTATGCAGTTTGGTCTTCATTTATTTTATTTTTAGATGATAATCAAGGCCTTCGAGTGATTCACTGTTTTACTTGAAGATATCACCAAATAAACTGCTTTATTTCAAAAAATGAAACAAAGCAAAAAAAAAATTTTGCTGTGTTTATACAAAGAACTACCTGATACATACATTAATATGGGAACCAATAATCATTCATGAATATATTAATGAGAAGTTACTAGT